CCTATTACCTCTCATGATGTCGTCCAGATGGCTAACAATATCCTTCATCCCAGCCCCAGGAAAACACACCCTCTGCCTCCCATTTCTATCCCAAAGACAAAAAGCCCTATACATTTACTTAATCTGAGTGTCCCCAACTAAAACAATGTTCTTAACTCGACTGGCGGTATTCACAACATTCTCGACGGTCTTAGTAGAGATGGTCTTCGCTGGGATGTCTTCACTGGCTGGCTTCACTGTTTTGTTAGCAATTCTCTTTGTTGGAAGATCATGGGTGGTCAACTCACATTCGTCTGGTAGCATAGAAAAGGAGTTTGAGGTTACCACAGCAGTCTCTTTTTTCTTCATTGTTTCCTCCTCTCCTTCTTGATCCTCAACTTCGTTCTATGCTGTCCGGCCACTGCCCAGGTTCCCTTCTTGACCTGAGGACTCGCAACAGGAGGACTACTACAAACCTTCCTGTTTTCCTCCATCAATCGCCGTATCTCAAGCTTCGCTACCCTCAATTCCTCTTTAACTCTTTCAGGGTTGGTGCCGTACTAGAACGGATTGCACACCAGGGTTGGTGCCATACTAGTATGCATAAATTCTAGCGCCTTCAAACCTAGCGAGAGAAAGCTGGTAGGCCTACAATGAAAGAATGGGTCCATGTGGTAAGTGTGCACAGTATAAAAAATATCCTGCAGCACACAGTGCATAATGAGAAAAAAAATTCCAACCGTGTTTGTGCTTTAAAACAGCGACTTTGCAGTGTATTTTCATATACTATTTATGGTCGTATTCTGGTTTCCCTGGTCTCATTTTATTGAATGGAAGACATATTACAGAAATTGAGAAGATTTTGATTGGTTTCACAAAGAAAAGTACCTTGAAATTGAGCTCAAAGTAGCAGAAATGTTCGATTTTCGCCAAAGTTCAAAAGTAAACAAATCATGCCATGCGTCCAATACAAGTCAACTGGTGAGTCTAATATTCTTTCATAAGTGTGCTGATATTATTTATACCATTTCTACACAAATGCAGTAGTCTGCATAAGAGTAAATCTTTTATTTTTTGTGAGAATAAAAATTCAAAGTGGAAAGCAAAAGAAATGTAAGAGGCCTCTGGATGTGACTAATCAACAGAAAAAAAACGTTTTTTTAGCGCCAGGATGTCTTTCTTGTTTATTCTGGACCCTATTTGGAAATTGGCATCTTTTGAAATTTGTGTGAAATTGGCAAAATTGCCAATTTCTGACCACTTTATTGGATAGATGAAATAAATAAATGGTGGTTTCTTGTACTCATTTGATATAAAAAATGGAGTTCTAGCGAAATAGTTATGATTTTTGTCGACTGGTACATTGGAATTGGCAGAAAATAAAGCTCAAATTGGCGAAATTGCCGATGCGTAAACATCGTCGAGATTGCTAACTTCGTGAGAGCATAATTCCGTAAGTTTTCCATCAAATTTCACACTTTTATTGTCATTGGGATCAGGAAAAGATTCTCAGTCATTTCATAAGAAAAAATCATTTTTTTTTTTTTTTTAAATTTTGGACCCTAAGATCAAGTTTAGGAGAGGGTCTGCAGACCCTGAAAGGGTTAAGCTGCTGGTAAAGTTGCTCGATGGAGGGCATCTTGGTTTAGTCCACAGGGAGTACATTAGACATGTCCTCACTGAGCTAAGTACAGGTCACCACTGAGTTAAGTACAGGTCACCACTGAGCTAAGTACAGGTCACCAATGAGCTAAGTACAGGTCACCATATGATAAAGCTGTACACATGACAACTTTACACATAATAAAGCTCTACACTTGAGATTTGACTTAAACCTTTGAGTTTTTCTTCAACAGTGCTGTTAACCCTTTCAGGGTTGGTGCCATACTACTATGGCTTGCGCACCATACTACTATGGCTTGCGCACGTGTAAATTCTAGCGGTTTCAAATTAAGCGGGCAACAGCTGGTAGGCCCAAATTTGAGAGAATGGGTCTGCATGGTCAGTGTGCACGGTAGGAAAAAATTCAGGGACCCAGTGGTGCATTGTGGGAATGCTATTTTAGTACACCTTGCTCATCATACCTCACAGTAAGAAACTCCTCACTCCTCGGCAAACTGGGACACTTTTGTTCCCCAATGACACTTCTAATACAGATGGAAGTGTCAATGAAGATAAGTTTCAAGGCTTTGATGAGGTTGTGACCGAAACTAATGACCTTAATACTGGTAAAAGTGAGGAAAATTCAGATGGCCCTCAACCTTCCACCTCTGGTGCTAGGCCGTCTTGTTCACTTTCAGTTGTACCAGAACGAAAGAGGAAACTCATATTTTCCCATATCCAGGACTCAGATGTGAGCAATGGTGATGATAGTGGTAGTGAATATGAACTCCAAGCGCTTGACAACATTTCCAGTAGTGAGAGTGAAGTAGAATATTCTCCAGTGAAGCGTCAGTATATACGATGGTACGTATATGCACTCTGGTAGTGTGCCACATGCTATTCCAAGGGGAAGGTGTACATCTCAGAGTACATCCTGTGGCTGTACAACAGGAACAGATAGTGAAAATGAAGAAGATAGTGCTGCAATTGGGATGGAAAATGTGAATGCATCTGTTGGTGGTAGTGGTGGTGTCAGCGGTGAGGCACCAGCAGTGGGCCATGCTGCCACCCACGCCGCTGACTCAGCTGAACTACAACAAAGGCCACTGTCCCCAACCCACCCACCACACCAACCTCCACAACCACAACCTCCACAACCACTTGTCAGTACCCAGTACCCACCAGCAGACCGCACCTGGGATTGGCAGGAAGCTGACAATTTTGTTCCAAATCCCCATCACTTTGATGAAAGCCAAAGTGGAATACGGCCATCTTGTGCACTTGGGAACAACGCCACTGAACTGGAATGTTTTGAGTTATTCTTTGACGAACCCCTGATGGAAATTATTGTCAGGGAAAGCAACAGATACTTCGATTACACCATGGCAAATGCAATACTTTCACCAAAATCACGTCTACACAAGCGGAAACAGACAACTGTGGCTGAGATGTATTTTTTTTTTTTGCCACAATAATGCTTATGCCACATGTGTATAAGCAGTGTCAAATCATACTGATCGACAGACCGCCTGATTGCAACTCCAGGTTCCAGTGATATTATACCAGTGAATCAATTTGTGCTGCTGTTACGTATGCTTCACTTCTGAGACAAAACCAGGCCTGACAGAAATGACAGGTTATATAAGATTAGGAATGTGTTTGTGTATCTGAAACAGAAATTCAATATGTACTTTTATCCATTCTGGAAGCTTGTTATTGGTGAGTCTTTGATTCTGTTCAAAGGAAGACTGTCATTCAAGCAGTAAATACCAAGCAAGAGGAAAAGCTTTGGTATAAAGTTGTTTGTTCTTTGTGACTGCTACAGTGGTATTGTATTGGATATAATTGTGTACACTGGAAGTAATACATTGCGAGATACCAGGAAGTTACTGAATATCTCTGGTGATGTGGTTAGAACAATGATGGAACCATATCTTGGTAAGGGGCATATATTATATACTGATAACTGCTACACAAGCCCCTTACTGAGTGATTTCTTGCAAGTGAACATTACAGATATGTGTGGCACAGTGCGTGGAAGTCATAAACATATGCCTAGGTTCGACGCTGGCACTCGTAGAGGTGAGGTGCAGGCATTTGCTGCCAATGACATCATGGCATTTTGGTGGCATGAGAGACGAGATGCCACACTGTTGTCATCAGTTCATCCTAACAAAATGGCAGACACTGGCAGGCAGCATAGAGAGAGCAATGAACCCATTCTAAAACCTGCAGTTGTGATGGACTACACCCTCAATATGCATTCGGTGGACAAATGTGACATGCAGATTGGGTTTGCTGATTGTGTTCGCAAGAGTTATAAGTGGTACATAAAACTCCTTTTCCATATTATGGACATTTCCATGCTCAATGCTTACAATATGTATAAGATGAGGACCAGAAACAAACCACCATATGGCGAATTTTGTCTGTCTGTCATCAGACAAATAATAATCAAGTAAAAGGAACAACACCTGAAATAGAAAACCCCCCACAAAATTATCAACAACTACCTTCTCGTCTGAAGGCTGGTGATCACTTTCTAATGAAACTGCCTGCTACCGCTTTCAAGAAAAATGCTCAAAAGAGGTGTTATGTCTGCACATACAAAAAAAATGCCCGCAACAACGCAGAGACACTCGTTTTATGTGTGAGGAGTGTAAAACACCATTGTGCATAACACCGTGGTTCAAAAACTTCCACAGGCTCCAGAACTTCTAAGAACGTGTCTAGTGACTGTATATATGTACATATATATAATATAGAAAAATTGTAATAAACAACATTTTACTTTGTTCCTTTGTGTAAACATGTTTTGTAAACAATACAGTGGACCCCCGGTTTACGATATTATTTCATTCCAGAAGTATGTTTAGGTGCCAGTACTGAACGAATTTGTTCCCATAAGGAATATTGTGAAGTAGATTAGTCCATTTCAGACCCCCAAACATACATGTACAAACGCACTTACATAAATACACTTACATAAATGGTCGCAATGGGAGGTGATCGTAAAGCGGGGATCGACTGTATAATGACAACAGTGTTTGTACAGTGATTGTGTAGTACAGAAAGAGTGAATATTTACAAAATAGTCCTCATGTTGGTCTCACAGGCCATAAAGTACTTGAAAAAAATATATTAAAAAATAATAGAAAAAGGTAGAAAAAAAAAAAAATGATTACTGGGTGACTGGCAGTCGACAATGTTGCTGTATGCAGTTCAATTTCTGTCAACTTCACGCCTCCATACCTCGGTAAGTGTTGATGGCAAAAGAAACTTTTTTAGCCTATAAAATTTAGAAAAACAAAAAAGACTATTTTTTTCGAATATTTTTCAACCCTGAGAACAAGTTTGGGAGAGGGCCTGTCGACCCTGAAAGGGTTAAAAACCTGTCACATCCACTTCCCTCCATGTACCTTTTGTGGTGAAGACGTGACACTTCTCTGCATGAACTGGACCATTTCTTCACTGCTCTGTCACCGCCTAGTAACATTCTAGCAACGTCGAACGCCAGCTGCTCCTCTGTCTTGATCCCCAGATCACACAGCGCTACCACAGTGGTTTACATCAAATACTGTTTAACATATGACTGATGCACAGGAATACCAAGAGAAAGGCAACAATTATTATTATTATAACTAGTATTATTATTATTATACAGCCTCTCCTCACTTACAATGGGCTCTCTGACCAGTATTCAAACCTAATTAATGTATATTAGAGCTGATTTACTCTATTCTGTTTATTTCTAATATATAGTACACTACTGTATAAACATTTAAAAATATACCAGAAATGTTGTAAGTGGTGCAAAGGCTGATACTGAAACAACATCAAAGATGACTGACACAAACTCACTATCATTATAGTAAGCTCCTCACTTAGTGACGAATTCATTTAACAAATTCATCACTTAACGATGGAACTCCGTCATTAAGTGAGGAGAGGCTGTATTCCTGGATAGCACAACACTCATGAAGGTTTCTCACTGGTGCACAGTAAAAGGATAGAAGCAGAAAAGAAGGTGGTCAATAAATCAGTGTCAGTTAAGAACTAAGCGAGCAAATTTATATAAGAAGAGTGCAAACCAATATCGAAAATGAGAGGAAGTAGCATAAATATTGTTAGGTAAGACACATATGCAACAGTTAGGTATCTTTATTATGAAACATTTCGCCTACACAGTAGGCTTCTTCAGTCAAGTACAGAAAAGTTGATAGAAGCAGAAGATACTTGAAGACGATGTAATCAGTCCATCACCCTTAAAGTTTTGAGGTGGTCAGTCCCTCAGTCTGGAGAAGAGCATTGTTCCATAGTATGAAACAATCTATGGAACAATGCTCTTCTCCAGACTGAGGGACTGACCACCTCAAAACTTTTAAGGGTGATGGGATACGATTAACATCAGTCTGCAAAACTATCTTATGCTCTCTATCAATTTTCTTACTATGACTCGAAGTAAGCCTACTTGTGGTAGGCCCGATAATGTTTCACTAATAAAGATACCGAACAGAAGTTCAATATGTGTCTTACTAACAACCTAGCGGTAATTTTATATAACATTTTATCGAATAGCGAATCATAAATATTATAGAAGGCCAAGTTTATCAAAGCTGATGCAAAAGTAAAATGTAAATGTAGACCAGTAGTAATTAGACATTAAATGCAGTGAAGCTGTTATGCAGGGTTCTGCATGACATTGTACAGTGGACCCCCGGTATTCGATATTAATCCGTTCCTGAGAGCTCATCGAATACTGAAAATATCGAAAAGCGAATTAATTTTCCCCATAAGAAATAATGAAAATAAATTAATCCGTGCAAGACACACAAAAGTATGAAAAAAAATTTTACCACATGAAATATTAAGCTTAATGCAATAACAGTAGAATAATTGACACTTACCTTTAATGAAGATCTGGTGATGATTGATGGGATGGGAGGAGGGGAGTGTGTCGAAGTTGTTACTGTTTAGAAGGGGAATCCCTTTCCATTAGGACTTGAGGTAGAAAGTCCTTTTCATGGGTTACTTCCCTTCTTCTTTTAATGCCACTAGGACAAGCTTGAGAGTCACTGGACCTCTGTCGCCGTTCCTTTAAGATTTGTCTAAAATGGGCCATAACATTGTCATTGTAATAGTCACCAGCACGGCTTGCAATAGCTGTGTTAGGGTGATTTTCATTCATAAAGGTTTGCAGTTCAACCCACTTTTCACACATTTCCTTAATTTTTGAAGTAGGCACAATGGATTCCACAACTGGCGTAGGCTTCTCAGGGCTAGCCCCAAACCCTTCAAAATCTTTCTTAATTTCCATACTAATTCTCACCCTTTTTACCACAGGGTTGGCACTAGAAGCTTTCTTGGGGCACATGGTGACTTATTTTGCAGAAACAAGCACCAAAAACAGTGATAATATGGAATGTACCGAATGTATCCTTAGATGCGCGCACACTGCCTGGCTTGTAAACACTGGCACACATGGGGTAGTTCAAGCCACACGTGGACACGTCTCGTACGAATCGCATCGAATACCGGGTTTTCGATCGGATACCGAGGTGAAATTTATGCGTTAAAATGCATCGAATACTGGATTTATCGGATACTGATGCCATCGAATTACCGGAGGTCCACTGTAATGCATATACAGAAGAGAAGGGTATCATAACAGCATGAATGTTATAATTGCAAAGAATAATTTTACAATTCATAATGTGCATTTGGGGGTACTGTAAAGTACTCTAACGGTAACTATAAAGAAATCCTGCTAGGTAATTTTCCAACTGTGTTTGGGTACGCGGGGTAAGTGTGGCTGGGGGGAGTCACGTGGAGTCAGCATGGTGTGGAGGCTGGCATTGGAGATGCTGTGTATTTAAGCTAAGTTTGTAGTTGTGTGCTCCTTTTGTTTAGCTAACCCAAGCCATAGGCTCTTCTATGGCTTAACTGTATGGTCACCTAGGCTCTGATATGGTCAGGGCACTGTGGGATGAGTGACGAAATAAGAAATGGGGTTGGTATAAGAGTAGTGATGACCTGGCGCTGACTAGGCCGAGTGTTATGGTTACTGGACTGCCAGCCGCCTGCTTCTTGTGCCCGCTATGTGGGCGTTTAGCATAGAAGATAGATGAAGGTATTTCTAGAGAGTGTATATAGTGTTATGTTAAATAAATAGATATATTTTCCTAACTAGGATTTTTTGCCTAACCCTCTATTAACCAACCCATTGAAGTACAATCTATGTTTGAGCTTAACTGTTTGGTCACCTAGGCTTGATAGGCTGGTGGCATGTCTGTGGGATGAGTGAGAATATAAAATGGGGTTGGTTAACAGGTAGTGAGACCCGCTTCCACTAGGCACTGAGTGGTTTGGTTATGGACTGCACCGCTGTATCTTGTGCCGCTATGTGGGACGTTTAGCATGAAAGTAGATAAGTATTTTTAGGATTGTTTTAGGCTAACCCTACTATTAACCACCATTGAAGTAAAAATGCTATTTAGAGCTTTCTGTTTGACTGCATTAGCCCTGGGTGGGCTGTTTATGCTAGAATGTGTATAACTTTTACCTTTGCCCTTATGACTAAGGCTTTAGAACTCCCAGTTATCCACTTTTACCTTGCATAACATGGGGGTCTGTATAGGGTGTAATTAACAAATCTTTATGTGGTGATTCCAATGTTTGCATACCTGGAATGTTCAATAACTCATTCTTTACCTGAGCTGGTTTAAGGAAACATTCACTACAATACTCACACTAAAATAATAATTTACCTTTGTTTGCAATATTGCTGGTTTTTAGGGTGTTATTATTAACTAATACCCTGTGTATAATTTACCTTTGTTTGCAATACTGCTGGTTTTTAGAGTGTTATTATTAACTAATACCCTGTGCATATTTTACCTTTGCAATATTGCTGGTTTTTAGGGTGTTATCATTAACAAATACCCTGTGCATAATTTACCTTTGTTTGCAATATTGCTGGTTTTTGGGGTGTTATTAATACCTGATATTTTGTGCATAATTTCCCTTGCAGGTATAATCTTGCTGATTTTTGGGGAGGTTATGCTTACCTAATTTTCTGGGAATAATTTTCCTTTGCAGGTGCAATAGCTCCATTTCTCTGCAAGGATTTTCTTGTTGTGTGCAATCCTGTTTAATTTTAGGGAGTCACATGACAATCACTCCTTGTGAATATACTACTTCAGTGTATGTACTTTGCTGAGTGCTTCATTATTTTATATCAGTAAGTTCTGTGGCTGATAGCAAGATTTGGTGCTATTATTTCTCAAAATGGCTGACACTAGTAGAAAATTCTGTGGATGACATGCATTTGGAAGGTGACATTCAATCAAATTCCCATGATAGGAACCTGGAAAAGGGAGTAGAACTTGTATGTATGAAATTAGCCCTAGTGGCGGAAGAAAAGGAACGGTTAAGGATTGAACATACAAAGATCCAGGAACAAAGAGTCTTAGAGGAGCTTAGGGCTCAAGAAAGTGCTAAAGAGAGGCAGCTTGCTTCTCACCAGACACAGACACGAGGGTAGATGTTTTTCATTTGGATAAAGCCATAAAATTTGTGCCCAAATTCCTAGAGAAAGATCCAGACCAGTTTTTTCTGTTATTTGAAAGTACGGCCAAATCCCAAGTTTGGCCGGAAAAGGAATTCAAATTCAATTCAAATTCAAATTCAAACTTTATTCTCTATAAGTATTACAATGCTGAGTTTACAGAATTTGGTTATTGTGTGGTTTACATGTAGTAAAATAATAATTACAGAGTGTACCACTAGAACGCCTAGCATGGCTAGGCATTTCGGGCAGACTTATATTAAATCTTAGGTTTAAAATGTTACAGAATTATGAGATAAGTTGGTATTATGGCTAAGTGACTAAATACTAGTTGTGAGTTTAGCAATGTGAATGCTTTTGTTTTGGCACTATATATAGTTTCAGTATTGGAGTATCACAGGCCAACTTTTGACTAGTTAAGATTCATTATTTTGAGATTGAGATTGATATTTCTGTTTATGGTCAAATGGGTGAGTGAATGTAAGTGTGAACCACCAGGTGGTATTCGTATTATTAGTTGACAGGGTGTATCAGGGAGATAAGATGTTTTCTGAAGGTAGTTTTGAAGGTGATGAATGTGTCTGCAGTTTTGGAATTTTCAGGTAGGTGTTCCAGATTTTAGGGCCTTTGACATACATTGAATTTCTGTAAAGGTTTAGTCGGACACGGGAATGTCATAGAGATGTTTGTGTCTGGTGTTGTGCCTGTGGGTTCTGTCACAACTATCAAGAAAGCATTTTAGGTCAAGGTTAATATTGGAATTTAAGGTCCTGTAGATGTAGATTGCACAGTAGTAAGTGTGGATGTACTGAACAGGGAGTAAGTTTAGATCTATGAAGAGTGGGGGGGGGGTGTTGCCAGGGATGGGATTTTTGTGATTATTCTTACTGCGGCTTTTTGTTGGGTTATTATTGGCTTTAGGTGTGTTGCTGCAGTTGAACCCCAAGCACAGATAGCATAGGTGAGGTATGGATATATAAGTGAA